AGAATTTCTGTGAGGCCCCTGAATGGAACCCGAGTTTGAGTGGTTTCAGATATCTGACAAGCAGGTAAACTTTGAACCTGCTTACACTCCATGCTGCCTTCAGTTTAAGTAGCTTTTCCTTGATCACTCTAACAGTGAGCAAGATTTAATGAGAAAAAAGAGAAGCAGTATGTAAATACCTTACAAAAGAAAGCAGAACAGCAGGAATCTGTGCCTTTGGTAGCTTTATGTCTTCCATTTGGTTTGCCCAATAGTTTAAAAATATTCACTCATTTAAGAGAGTTTTCTAAACCACAACCGATCAAAATACAGAGTTGTGCAGCCCAGTTCCAAAGAATACATCTACAAAGCAGCCCTGCACCTAAGGCTCAGGGAACATTGAAGAAGAGGGGGTGGAAAGATTGTGAAGAGCCAGACGATCAGGGAGTCTGCTGTGAGATTGTGTCTCCGAGTAATGTCAGAAGACTGTATCAACATGACTGCTTAAATATAAGCTGAACAAGGACAACAACAACAACAGGCATGTTGAAGGGGACAGGGAAAATACCAGGAGGCCTCAACACTACACAAAGAACTACAGGTAACTAAGGAATCCTCAGAGTAGGAGAAATAGTCTTCCCCAGGCAAGAGCACATCAATTGGCTACCCAATACCTGAAAACATACATAAAAATAACATTATAGAGATGGAGCAGGTGTACTTATGTATTTAGGGAGAAAATACAAGTGTGTGTGTGTATGTGTGTGTGTGTGCGTGTGTGTGTGTGAGAGAGAGAGAGAGAGAGAGAGAGAGAGAGAACACACATATGCATGTAACAACAATTAATGAAAAAATAGGCCATGAATTTGAAAGAGTAAAGAAGAGTATATGGGAGGGTTTGGAGGGAGAAATAATATAATTATATTATAATCTCAAAAAGAAAAGAAAAATGAATAAAAGGATATACTTCTAAAGAATTTAAGGATATGAACAGGCACATGCCTGAAGTTATTATTAGTACTGCTAAAGCAGCTATAACTACTGAGCATTTTGTTACAAAACTGTTCCTGTCAGAATTAATGATTTTGCCACCCAGGCACAGAGTTGTGAGGTTTCTGCTCACTGGAAACGATGAGAACAGGTAATGCAATCACATTGCTTTACAAGTTGTGTCCTAACAGTTAGTCCAGCTCTCAAAACTGAAAACATCAGTGTAGGAAAAGGACTTGCTGTGTCAACCTATCGCTGAAGGACACAATGTATACATGTGTGTACAAGATTCTAAATACAGGATGTGAACATCTTTTAAAACTGTAACATGATATGTGAGATGCTGTCAGGAAAAGGCATCAAATGCTTAGTAAGAGTTAGTGCAAATAGGAACATACAACATTAAAATTTTAGTTCAAAACTGAATGGTTTGTCCAGGACACGTCTCATGCATTTCATTTTGCCAGAATTATCAGCTAAAATTGTTTTTAAAACATGATGAAAAGACCATGATGGTATCTTTGTAAGAATAGCAATGATACCAGCCATTGTTATGGTGAAAACACTCTGTGGTAATAATGGAAGATATTCTGAAATTAACTGTCATTACTTTGGGGCACCCCATCAAGTCAGTCATGCTGTCTAATCCAGATGCTAACATCAGAGGTTTTTCTCTATGGATTACATAGTGAATGCTTACTCTTTGAGACTATAATACATTCAACATCACATGGAAATATATCCCACCAACTTTCTTCACATAAACTCTGTACTGTGAAGCGGAGAGATCATGACAGAGTAGCAATGCATTAATATCACTGGAAATGCCACTCCCGGAACATGACCCCATTCTATTGGCAGCTTGCAATGCTGGAATCTTGTCTTTTAATCATTTTCCTCTTTTGGCGACCCATTCATAAGCCATAAGAGTGAAAAAAACACAAACAAAAACCCTCTTCAGGACAAAATGATGCACTTGGTCAACTGTCCTGAGTATCTGAAGTGCCGACTGCACACAGACCTGCAAGTTATAAGCACTTCAAGCCATAGGTAGAATTCACTTTTAGAGTACTATAAATTTAAACTACAAGTGCAATATAAAAATTAAATTAATGAAGTGCTTGAATGCTATTTAATTTATACATTTGACCTGTTACTCATCTTTTGTTTTCATTATTTGCATTTGGAAAGACATAACATACACATATATTTCTACTTAACACACTCCAACTTTTGCAACACATTTATTACGAACTAGAACTGTTTTACTGTACTACATTTAACCTTAATTTCATCTTCAAAATTTAAAATCACCAGCATGTCAATGAAACCCTATCAGCTAATTTTCTTCTCATAATCTCCAGTAATACGTCCAGTAATTTCTTTTACATAAACATTTTTCTACTGTTCAACTTGTTCTGTGTGTATGTATGCATGTGTGTGTGTGTGTGCATGTGTGTGTGTATGTATGCATGTGTGTATGTGTGTATGCATGTGTGTGGGAGGGGGGAGTCTCTTCTTCTAACCAGAAGTCAGCTATAAACCTAAGTCACCCGGGAGCTCAGCCAAAGTCTGAAACAGCACAGCTGAAGGGTACAGCCATTTCACAGGGTCCTCTCAGTATTTGGTTTGCTTTCCTAACTTTCTAAAAATAGTAGATTACACAAGCCACCTCCATCTCATGGCTCAAGAACTCAAAAGAGGCTGGAACAGGGATTAAAAGCAATACAGAAAGCACATTTCATTAAAGAAGTCAGGATATTACAAGTTTTACTTGTAAAACTTCTGTATACTCTGAGACAATGGAGATGATCTGTTGGTTGTTGGCAGGCAAGCCTCAGAATGCTCCCAAACTTCAGAACTTCAAGCATGAGTCATTCAGATACTTTAAGTGTTTTAAGATGTGTTCTGGATCTATTTTAGCCACAAAAATGAACACCATTAAGACTACTAGCTAAAAGGTAGAATTCCAAACACCATATAAAGAATGAGGGATTCTTTCAGTTACATGTGGAACTTTTTGAAAAACTCAAACATTTAACTGCACATCCAGAGTTGATTCTTAATACTTCACTAACACGTAAGAAGCTATTGTCCGGGTATAAAACTCTATCATAAATAAATTTGTGTTAATTTGTCTGTCTATTCAAATAAAAAAGTTTTGCCAAATTCAAAAAAAAATTAAACTATAAATTTCAGCTTGTCTTAAAAACCAAAGAAAAAGGACAAAGCTTGCTGTTATTAAGTGGTACAATGAATTCATTTCATAAATAAATTTTAAAAATTAACATTATTTTTGTTGTTTTTTTTTTAAGAAGTTCTTGATGTGGCGGTTGAGTCTCGTTAACCACACGGCATGTCTGTAAGCAGGACTGCAGCTTTACTCAAAGGAGAACTGTTCTCTGAACACAAGTGAATAGTAACTTAAAAAAAGTACTTAGCGCTGGAAAAATAGAAACTGAATATTAATAGTTCACAGTGTTTGCAAACTCTGTGTAGGCAGGTCTTCTGTGAAACCATTCAAAGTCGCAGCCAAATTTAATGTCCTTCATTTTACAGCTAGGAGTTCACCACCAATTATCTATAGGATTAAAAACTGGATTTGCTAGGAATTGGGTCAAAAAGGAGTTACTTAAGAACACAGCTGGTTACCGACAAGAGCAATTAGTCTTTCGCTCCTTGTTTTATGGATCCCTGTCTCTAATTACACCTGAATTCATGACCATTAATTTAGGACTGATGTTCACAAAGGTATAAACACTGTGCCTTTATCAATGTGTTTCAAGGCCAAGGTGGGGGAAGTAGTAACTGACAACTCCTACTTATTAGTCTCTAGGACTCTGCCGATAGCCTGCCGTCTTAACAAGGGTCTGTGGTTACTATCACACACCTCCTCTTAGCCTGTTCTCAAGAGTGAATCGTTGAAACGTTTAGCAAAAATTTTACCAAAGTGAGCATCACAAAGTGAACTAAAAACAACCAGCTGAAATGGTTAACCTCTAACTCACCCTGACAAGACGAAAGAAAGCACTCGGATTACAATATGATTTGTTTTTAAAAGACACGATGGATTTATGAGACTTCTTCACAGATGTAGATACGATGGTGATCCATCTTGGAAGAGTCAAAGAATTAACTGCAGGCATTTAGTATTCGAAAATTAAAAATCTGATTAAACCAAATAAGTTAAAGGTACCCCGGAACAAATTTCTAGTCTTGTCCTTGCATTTCACAATAAAGACATGTTTGCTATCTTTTACAAGATCCATTTCAAACTTTACAAAAATGCTAACATAAATAATTTCTTCTTATCATGCACACAAGGCTAACTTTTAACATTTCTGACCAGGAACACATTAAGTAACAACTGTCAAGAATCTCACAGAAAAAAAACATATGTATTACTTCAGTATGAAACATCCAATGAACAACAGTACTTAGTTTGTACCTATATATAAAGCCCACATTCATTAAGTATGTGGTTCGGATAAAATACTATAGCTACTGAAAGAAATCTTACATCTAGTCATGTTTTCCCAAAAGTACACGGCTTTAGCCACTAAAATTATCTCATAGAAAAGTAAAAATGTATCCATGATCAGCTGACATAGAATTTGCCATTCATTTATAGCAGTTTGACAAGTTTACCAACAAAGGAAAACAAGTTATATTCAATCAGCTACTGTCTTGGCCTTATTATAATATATGAAAGTGCTGAACATGAACATTTACCATTGCTGAACAAAGACTCTCACTCTGCTATCATCATATTACAACTGCATCAATACACAACACTTTCTGCCCTGGGTTAAAAAATCACGGAGTTTGGAGTTAAAGGCCTGGTAAAGTTATTTGTAAGTTTGGCTGGACTTGGCATCTCATTGAGTGCCCCAGCTCAACACTATAAAACAGAACATGCTATATAACTAAAGTGTTAACAAAGCAATCCATAGTCTGAAACTAGAGTACCCTGTGCCCATACCCCTTAATCAATCATTGCATATCCTTAAAAGTACATAATATTTACTCACTTTCAGTGAATCAAAGCAGGCGATTACTCGTCCATTTTCAACTTGGCAGCTTTTCGAAGGATGTGCAAATTTACACTCCGTGTCTGGCCGTGAGCAAGTCCCTCTTTGAAACTCTCTACATACTTCCAGTGTTAGCCATTTTGTGTCCCGAATTGGTGTGACACTAACAGCCATGTTTATATTTTACAGGTAGTTAAATGTTCAATGAAACCAACAAACCCGACCCCTCTCAAAAAAAAAAAAAAATCAATAACCGAAACAAAAACAAAAACAAAAACAAAACAAAATAGGAACTGATAAAACTTAGAAGTGTGAAATGACGGTGAAAATGTCCGGAAGGCTGTTTCCCCGCTCCCTGCTTTAACGGCACGTGGAAAAGTGTGACTTCAATATCAAGGGAAAGACCTCCACTAGAAAGTCACAGCATGAAACTGTTAATTCAAAGAGGTTTTGGGTTTTAGAGAAATACCAGGATTGTAAGTAGATGGGTGCTTAAAGGAGGGCCTGGAACCAGCCTTGCGCTCAGTAACCCCTTCCCAGTGCCAATTTGGAGCCCAAAATGCAAGCATGAAAACGTGGCAGACCCTCTGACACCGAATTTCCAATCTGCTTTCAGCCAAGTTGTCTGACAGGGAATCTCCTCACAGCTGAATTTGCGATGGAGTTTGGTGGTGCAATCGGTATTGATTAGTTTGGCATAGACAGATGCAGCAGTTTAGAGCAAAATCGAGAAAATGATTTTGTGTTTTCCTCCTTGATTTCCTGGCAGAAGGTATCTTACTTTTTCAGCAAACTTTTCTTCTAAACTAAAGCAGCCTAGGGCAATGGCAGATACTCAGAGCTTTTCTCCTGATTAGAAGTAGAAGTGGGGGTGTCTGGGCTAGAGGTGGAGGGCGGATGTGCTGTCGTCACAGTCTAGCTGGCAGCAAGCAAGGCAAAAGCAGAGGCTGCTCTAGAAGCGGTTCCAAGCAGCAGAGACGTCAGGAAAGGCACTTCTTAGTACCAACCTGTAGAGAAAAGAGATAGGTTAAGATTTACTAAGGAGCATTCACTAATGTCCTAGAGTCGCACAACCTCGCCATGTGACACCAGACTAAGCAACTCAAAGTCAGACCCTCTCTCTCTGTCTCTCTGTCTCTCTGTCTCTCTGTCTCTCTCTCTCTCTCTCTCTCTCTCTCTCTCTCTCTCTCACACACACACACACACACACACACACACACACACACACACACACACACAATACTTACAGTGAGGAATATTGCAGCCAGCCATCGTAGATTTATTAAAAAGGGGGCCGTTTCCCCTTGTGAAGCAATGCATGATAGAGAGATAACCAATCACAGATAGTGTTGCAGCAATATTCTGGGCAGAAAGCCAATAGTGTGGGTTGTCTTATGAAAGGTCGCGCCTGTCAGACGTTCATTACTATGCTATAAGCACAGAAAATGTCCATCAGATGTGACTTATTCCACTGCAAGAGGACGAGCATGTGGGTTTTGAATTTACCCAACATGCAGTTAGTGGACTAAACCATGTTAGTTTCCAAACAGCTTCTAACGCAAGTCCAAGGACTTGACAATCACTACCGGGAATCAAAAGCAAGGTCTAAAAACTGCAGCTGAAGTCCAAGCTGCTTTCCCTCTGGCACTGCACAGGGGTGGACACTGAGCAGCCTGCTGCCGCTGCCCTGACACGTGAATAAAAAAGGAAAGGGGTGTTTACAAATGGTACATTCTCCTGACCTATCCAATTCACTTCCTCCTAAAGCCCAAGTCCTGCCCCTCTGCTGAAAGCAGCACTCATACTGTAAAACTATTCCATTCAGCCATCAGACACTTTGTCACTATATCACAGGCAGGCGAGGTATGAACAAAAGCATCCTTTATTCAGACATTTTTAAAGCAGAAGCCGAGGTCTTGCGGCGAGAATAAGGAGTGCAGTGTTGTCAGTGTGTCTGGTAAATCTGAAGTCAACCTCCAGGGAGAAAGTGATTCCATTGCAGGAACATTAATTATTAAGTGAGCAATTTGGTCTGGGCAGCATGATGCACTTCAGAGGCTCAATCCCACGCCATGCTGGAGGGTGGGGGCCAAGGCGGCAGGCTGCCTGAGGATCTGTTAACTTAGGAGCCCACCCTGCAGAACTGGGCAGTTTTGCTCAACAGCTTACTTTCTCTTTCAATAATACAAAAAACTTCTCAAAATTTTAACTAGTTACAAAAATAAAAGCGTGTATGTTGTGGGATTGTTTTCCTTCTGAATGCTGTCAGTGAAGAGAGTAAGGCTTTCTAACTAGTACATTCCAAGCCCTCAACAACACAAAGTAACGGTGATTACACTCAGTTTTTTTTTAAAGGAGCTGGTCATAAATGGTACGTTTGTAATTTTGGAAACTAGAATACAAGATATAAAGACATCGATGCTAAAATCATGAATATCTAGCAGAATTTAATTTTTTAGGACCAACACTAGTATTCTTAATACTATTCAGAGAAAATTCAAGCTACTTAACAAAGGTATTTATATTTGGAAAACACTAAACAGAAAACTACAATTTCTAATAGAGACTGAAGAAGTCACTAACCACAGTGTTCAAGAATGTTTTCAAGAGTCCTCGGGTTCTAAGGCTCAGCTCGAGACAAGTCTGTACTCTGTCTACTGTCCTGAGTCTCTACTTAGCATTCATCATTTTTTGGAGCCTCCCTGGCTTGAACACAGAGCACATGTGGTCACCACCTCTTCAGTCCACATTGCATAACACTTTATCAGCCACCATGCAACCAGGAAAAGCCAGAGATGACACATGAATCTTCCACACTTACACACTAATATCACCATTTCAGAATTACCTCTACACATCAATCCCTGTCTGTGGAGCGTTTTATTTCCTTAGATATTGGACCTACTTTTCCACATGTTTTCAAGGGCAGAAACAACACCACTCATTTCAGAAACCTGAGGACAGTGATTAAAAAAAAATAGATGGAGTTCCAAAAGCATGGGTATATAAATGATCGCTTACTACGGCAGGGCTGAGCTTATCTGAGGACACAAAAGTAACATGCACACACGTGATCACTTGTGAATGTACACAAATATACACTGAAGACATGAGCAGACCATCACCTCTATAAATTCCAGGGTCCTGCAGGCCCTCCCTCTGCCTAAGAATCTCTGCACAGGCCTGGGACAGTTCCCTTTCTTCCAGGCAACCCTTCCAGTCATCTCCACCTCAATTCTCTCCTCTTCCATGTTTCACTCACTCTCAGTGGTGGGTGGTCTTATGTGTCACATTTATTTCTTTGGTCAAACAGTCACCCTTGGGTCTGAGTTCTCCCTGAACTTCCTGCTTGTCTGCCCACATCTTTTGTTGCAGTTCTCCCCAGTGCCAAGCTTCTCCAAGCTTCCACCTTAACTGGTTCCTTCTCAAAAATCTCCTTCCTTTTCTAGACCTATAGATACCCATTTGCTACCTTCACACAGCAGTTCATTCTTAGTCTTCACAAGTGCTGAAAATCCCATACTAAAGAGGAATAAAGTCCCACGTGCCTGTGCAGTGTCCTCATCCCCTCATGTTAGGTATCTTCCCCAAACCCATGTCTACAGACGCATCTACATATGCTGCTTTTCTGTTGGCTTCATGTGTCCTTCACTTCTGTATCGATGCTAGTGTAACTCCCATACTCATCACTTTACTGCTCAACAGAAGCTGACAGTCCTGTGAAAACCAAATGCTTTTATATCTGCCTCAGTGTCCCACCTCAATGTTTCCCCATGTGAGAGCCAACACACACAACTCTTTAGCTTATGATCCCACATCCCTCTATCTTTACAGGGATGAGCTCTCAGGGCTTCTGCCCATAGCAGGCTACTGGAACCCCAGCAAGGTACCATACACTATCACTTCATCTGGCTGACTACCCCATTTCCCTGCAACCCAGCAAATCCATTCTTGTTTATATTGCCATCAATACCATCTTCTCTGTAAAGCTGGGCCAACTCTGAGGGGGTTGGGAGAAAAAGAAAAAAAAAAGAAAAACATGATTCTATCCCATAACATGCTCATTCTATCTAAGATTATCATCCCCCTGGCAGCAAGGTGTATTATCAATGTCTCCCAACCCCCAATCCTGGAATACAATACATATTATCAAATGTTTAATATATGTATTAATTTTATTCATATTGGCTGAAGAGATGGCTCAGTGGTTAAGAGCACTGGCTGCTCTTCTAGAGGTCCTGAGTTCAATTCCCAGCAACCACATGGTGGCTCACAACCATCTATAAGGAGATCTGGTGCCCTCCTCTGGAATGCAGGCAGAACACTGTATACATAATAAATAAATCGTAAAAAAATTATTCGTATTAATAGGAACAGACATGTTTAGGCAGGTATATTCCCAATCCTCAAGAAATATTTAATTCTAAAGTACAAGGTCCAAGCAACATAAGAAAGGAGTATTGGCACCATTGTAAATATCCATGTTCTTTGGTGGCTAAGGATGCGCAATCCTATAAAGCTGATTTCTGGAGTTGGTAATTTTTCCTTGCTGTCATGCCACAGGCTTAGTTCTACTTTAGTGTGAAACATATTAGTACAAGATTGCCTACAGATTCATAGTTCGGTCCATTCTATTTTCAATCTATATGTGAGATATTCTTCAAAAGTTGCAACTAAAAGAAGTATAAACATGTTTGTAAATTGATCATACTAGAACACAGGCACAGACAATCAGCATGTTCATGACTGACCAGGTAAGACAGTGAATAAGGAGAATGGACATCAGTCTACATACCTAATCAATTCATTTCATGAAACTGCTCTGTTTAAGGTAATATGCAAAGGATTTGGATCAGCACTGACTCCTGAAAAATGTAACTTCAACTAGTAAAGGTGTTTTTACCCCACAGAGATGCTCAGGGATGCCAGTTAATAGCATGCGGGCCCTAGTACCTCAGAGACCACAGTAAGAGGACTAGGAAGATTTTGAAGCCAGGTTGGGCTAAAGTGAATTCCAAGCCAGCTTGAGCTTGAATTATATGAAATTATGAATATAATAATGAAAATTGTCTGAAAAGAAAGAAGAAAGCAGGAAAGGACGGAAGGAGGGAGGGAGGGAGGGAGGGGGAAGAGGGGAGGAGAGAGAGAGGGGTGAGGAGAGAAGAAAAGAAAACTTTGTATGGGTAATATACAGATTATAAGAATTTATGAAAATATTTTTCGCTGAAATGAAGGTTTATTTTTTTAATAACTATTAAATGAAATGAATCTACTTCTAACATGTTTACTAATAGGTAAATTATCTCTGTGATGTTTCTGACTTTATTTCAATATACTATAAATAAGTAAATTTACCTTAAAAACAAAATGCTTGTTTTGGGAATTTAAAGGTTTTGCAACAAGAATCAAATGTTCTGGTACCCAGAGGAAAAGTCCTCAGTGACCCACTGATCAAATTATATCCACCGCATTTCCTCACACCATACCACATATCCTATAGCCAAACGTGTCCTACTACACAATGTCATTTCCCCTAAAGTGATGTCAGGAATCATGTGTACATTCTATGGTAAGATATAAAGGAGGAAAAAGAAACAATATAAAATAATCTAGTAAAAACTGGAAAAAAAAAAGATAGAGAATCAAGTTTTGAAAAGGACAAAGGGGAAGAGCGTCATGAGGAAGCATTAACAGTTGTTCTTTGTAAGTTAAGGGCACTTGACACTCACAGTATGTATCAAGTTAAGCCCCACACAGTGTACAATAAAAGGCAAACATGTGCCTGCAAGGTGGAATTCTCTTTCAGTGAACTAAATAGTCTCTGGGCAAGACATTAATGTCTTAGTCTCCTATGTTTACTAGTCATTTAAGCTGTAAAACAAATATAAGTGAGTCAGTCCTGTTACATCTCAAAGTAGTTAGTGAGAAATCTGTGGGATTTTTTTCTGACACTTTGATATTAAGATATGTTATGTACTGAGGAAATAAATTATGTGAGGCCTCTTAT